AGATCTTATCCCAACATTACCCCTGTCCTGCCCCAATCGTCCGCTCCTTCGGTGTGCCACGCCCCCTCGTTAACCTCCCCATGTGATCAGCTTCTGGTTGTTGTCATTAGTCCTCTGTATTAAGTCCGTGTTTCAGTTTGTTTCCCCAGTCCGGTCATTGGGTGCGTTCGACTTGCTTACAGCGCTGGCTTAAAGCAACGCATTCTGATCCTGACACAATGCATTATGGTTAGATGCATTGCGACCTCTCACCCAGCTGCACAAACTGGAACCGCCTCCGTGACGACACACCTTTGCCCTTACTGGCTGAAGAGTTTAGTTACATGCATGACGTTTGTATCCCAGGCATTTTTGATGCGTAATCTGCTATTTCTCCCGAATATCACGTAAAGCAGTGAGAACTGGTTTTCAGTTAATTTACCTGGTAAAATAAAGTTTAAATAAATTACATAAATGCTCTAATAGTACACGTAAGTTAGTGGTTTATGTATTGTTAGTTACTGTAATGTTGAGCTGCTTTATTTGGTTAATCGTCCAGTCTGTGAAGAAGGCATTCAAGTAAGAATTGCATTGTAGTGTAACTCATTTCCTGGCACGTACAATTTATATTAGGTCAGCGTTCACGGTTCGACTTCTGATATTCAGATCGAGTTCTAGGTCAAACTGGTTTATTCGACTTTCAAGAAATTCGAGTTCTAGTGAGTTCGAGAACCGAGGTACCACTGTATTACTAGAACTGCGTTTTATCATCTACGGAACATAGCCAAGCTTCGTAAGATGCTCTCACTTCGTGATGCAGAAAAATTAATACATGCCTTTGTAACTTCCAGACTGGACTACTGTAATGCCCTCCTTTCTGGTTGCCCGTCTGGATCCTTACATAAACTTCAGCTCGTACAGAATGCAGCAGCCAGAGTTCTCACAAACACTAAAAAATTTGATCGCATTACACCAGTCTTATCCTCCCTTCATTGGTTACCAGTTAAGTATCGGATTGACTATAAAATACTGCTATTAACCTATAAAGCACTGAATGGCCTTGCACCAGAATACCTTAGTGATCTGCTGACATCATACAACCCCCCGCGCTTGCTTCGTTCTCAAGGCGCGGGATATCTGTTAGTACCTAGGGTAGAAAGAGCTACGGCAGGCTGCAGAGCTTTCTCCTATAGAGCTTCTCAGCTGTGGAATGGTCTTCCACCGGATGTGCGGGTTTCAGGCTCACTCTCAATATTCAAGTCTAGACTAAAAACACACCTGTTTAGTTTAGCTTATAGGGAGACTAGTTCTAGCTCTAGCTAACTCCTCACTCCCAGTTAGACCTATAGCGTGAGGTGTAGAGCTGGGTGGGGATCAGTGCCATTGGCTTTGGATAAACTGAATTGACAGTGCTGTCACTCTAGCTTCACAATCGCTTGTGGGATTGGAGTGCTGACATTTCAGGGACTCCCCATGCCTGCATTCCCACTTGTCTCTCCCTCCTACTTATGCTGCCATAGCCATATCTGCCGGAGCTTGCACATTGCACTTCATATTGCACTCATCTAACTTTTAGCACTGCCTATAGTCTCCCCTACTTTGACTAATTGCATATTTTATTTCCCCTACTCCTCCTGGGGGGTGCTGCCTGGAAACCTCAATCTACCAAGATGTCCAGCACACCCTGCAACATGTGACGTCGCCACTACCAATGATGTCCGTGCATCCAGCTTGCCGTTCTGCCTGTGTCATCTTCCATGTTTGACCCGCTGCCTGCCTTCTGATTGCCTGGCTATTGGAGGGAGCATTGGCACCGGCTTGCCATCTCCCCCCTGCTCCCCGTTTGTGTCTGAAATTTTACTGTATTTGACTCTCCCTGCCGGCCCCTGGAGGATGGGCTCCCCCTTTGAGTCTGGTCCCTCCAAAGGTTTCTTCCTTCTCTGGAGTTTTTCCTTGCCATTGTCGCCTATGGCTTACTCACTGGGGGCTTTGGGTGGGGATGCTGTAAAGCGCTTTGAGACGATGTAATGTTGTGATAATGCGCTATACAAACATAAATTTGTTGTTTGTTGTTGTTGTTTTACTGTTAGTGTTATTTTAGTGTGCAAAATTGAGGGAGTGCTGAGAAATTTCACTAAAGGTAATGATGTTCCATTATTATCTGTATTTGAAAATAAACTTGAAACTAGATGAGGGACAGGTGTGAATCATTTACTAATTAACCAAACAAGGAACACAGAAGTAGTGTAGAAGTAGAAGTAGAGTAGGAAAACGACAGACAGGACAGGACAACACAGGGACCAATCCTGACAATGTGTAATGTTTATTTAAACAAAGTTAAACAACAAAAGCGGGAAACAAAATACCAAAATTATCTAGCAGTCTATTTAAGTTAGAAAAGTGCTATAGCGCAAAAGCATCTCTGAAAGCTAGCCCACATCTGTAATTCCTGGGTTTAACACTGGGGACATCTGGTTGGTTCCTCATATTCCACTGGAGGATCACGTCAGCTGTGGTGTCTCAGACCATTTTTAATGACAGCTGTTGAAATGATGATACAGCATCTTGGCTCAAACACAATGTCTTCCATACACACTTGAAGTGATTTTTCCATAAACAAGACCTTTGCTGTGGATATGGGCATGGTTGTAGCACTGTTAATCAAGTGTTGTTGCATTTAGGTATGTGTGAACAAAAAGTTAGAAGCATATCTACTATCACCAATTAATATTCCACTATGCTCTCCTTTTTCCAGGTGAGTATACAAAGATGAGTTCAGGAAAATCCTTGAATCGTGAGATGCAATGAGCAATGGCTGTTGCCATTCCTGGTGCTCCTTGATCTTCATTGAAGGTAATCAATGTTTCTCCATTTACAGACAGCATTAATATGGTTAAACTTGCCCTCTTGGAGGTTCAATTTAAGCCTTAATTTATTCCTGGAGTACCTCTAATCTTTCTTCAGGAAATCAGTTCAGTGTATTCAGGACTAGATTAGACTAGAACTATTCTAAATCATGACTGAGAAAGCAGATTTCCACTAATCTAGTTTAACACTAGAGCTGCCAGCATTTTTTGACCTTCTCTGACTGCCAGCTGTAATGTGCTTCATCATATGACAAATTTAGACATTAGAGTAACGTTTATCCATCAAAAAAACAATGGGACCGTCACTAATCCTCACAACTGCAGTTACAGTCACCCGAAAAAAGTAATAAAACCCATAATACGATCATGTTTATGTTATACGCGGTGAGCAACACTTGTTGAATAAGGAAGCTGATAAAGTATAGAAAGCACAAATTCAGTATCCACTTTGTATTCCAACTCAGTGTTAGGTTGGCAAATGTACTCAAAATAAAACTAAAGACACCTGTATAAAATACAATCGGTATGTGTGTTGGAGAAGTTCAAAAAAGCCGACAAAGACATGTAAGGACTGTGAGTACCAGCTTGTCTATTTGTTTTTCTTTGTGCTTATTGCAGTGGGTGTTATGTAATATTTAAGTACATTTTAGAATAAATTTCAAATAAAAACATATATTTTTTTAATTAGTGTTTTACTTTTGGTTTAGGGCATTAGATTCGCTGCTGTTATTAACACTAATTGCACATTAGTGCAAACAAATGGGCTGCAAACATCATTTTACGACTTGCTTGGCAGCTAAAGGAGGCTGACAGTCATTGGTGTGGGCAACGGTAGATCTAGTGCTAATAGGCCATTTTAGTCTAGGACTAGGTTTAATCTCTGTCTGTGAAACTGCCCCTTAAGGTTTAACTTTAATCCCAGTGTAAAGCATGTGGCCTTCTGAGGTCATGATACAAACACAGCCCTGCCTACTTTCGCCTATCCCTGCCTGTCCAGCTTTCCTTCCTAACTTTGTCTACTGGATTTGAATATAATGGGTTTGTGAAACACTGCTTCTCTCATCCCTCACAAAGTGCTGAAAGACCCATCCTGAGAGTACAGCGTGCTAAACATTCTTTTGTATTTTAGCACACTGAAAGAGGCTTAAAGTTACCTCCCCTTTTCTTGTTATTACTTTAAATGTGTCAACTTCAACTTTTTCCATACATTTTATTCTTTTCATTCCATTGAAATAATAGTGATTACAGAATAGAAAAAAAATCCATTATATTCCATTATTGGACCTCCATCTTTCCTGAGAGCAGAAAAATAATTACATCCCTTCATTCTGTCACCTGCTCTTCAATAACTTCTACACAGACTTCACTTCAGTTCCACTGAAGCCATACAGCCATTATCTCATTAGGTGTGAGTATGATTTTCATTCTGGGGTTTCTTAAACAACAGGCTAGGTTATCACTAATAACAAATTGCACATATTAGACACTAAAGTGCGTCATTGTATGCAGATATCTTTTCAGGAATGTAAACAGAAATAACACATCAAAGATAAAAAAGTGAGCATAAATGAGTCACATAAAGGAAAATTTAAAGCAAATTAATGGCCTGATTTCTTATTTTTAGTACTTTTAAAATAAATTTAGAAGAATATTTCCAGTAGTTTTTTTTTTTTTTTTATAAAAACCAACATTTGCAATCACAAATCCTGTTCCACTTGTATTTCTGGTTAGGGGTGTTTTTTTTATACAATCTTGGGATATATGTCAATAATTATATAATAATATGGTAACTGTGTATGCCAGCTGAATGTGTTTGGAAATGATTGGTTGAAGACTTGTGGGTGGACTACATGTCTAAAGCTTATGGAGGGCAAAATTGATAAGGTTGTGTTTATACTGATCAAGATTTACAAAGTTTATTTCAATCATGGCACGCACAGAAAAGGAAGAGGCTCTTACAGGAAAGATGGATGGCGAAGGCGTGTGTCCCAGCAAATCCTGCTCAATGACGGCCTCTCCAGCGGGGGTCTGTGGGCTTCCAGACACCTTCTGCTCTCTGTTGCTCAGACCTTCCATCTGGGCGCCAAAGTCAGATTTCCGGCTCCTGAGTGTGGTGACTTCACTCTTTTTGCAGTCTTTGGGCAGGAGGTGTTAGTAGCAATGGGTGGGTTGGATTGTGGAATTAGAGGCCAAGGAAGCAGGGTCATAAGGTGGGGAGAAAAGGTAGATCAAGGGTTAAAAAGAGACAAGTGTAAGCCAAGCAGTCACATGGTTCACTACCCAGGAAGTATTCACTGGGCAAATAGATTTCAGCCTCTCTTTCTTTCTCCATTGTGAGCTGTCAGGAGCATTTCACATACGCTGGGCTCTAAACAGATGCAATCTTGTCTCTTTATTACTTTTGGATTTGAAGCAAAAATAGGCACTAAGTCCTAGTAAAATTATAGCAAGAACCAAGAGAGTCTGTTAGATTTGGTCATTGAAGGACTGTATCAAACAGATGCACATAAAATGCAAATACACAATCACAACACAAGGAATGCTAATCATGCATTTAGGGACACTTGTTTACAGTCACAAATGTATTTGTTTTAGTTCTGCTTCAATTCTTGAGGGCTTTTTTAATGACAAATGTTCTTCTTTAAGAAAATGTGTTTTCCTTTATGAATTTTCCATTAAACATTGCATATAAGGCCCATTACATGGAGAGATTGTGATACAAATTTGGATTATCTGTAAACAGCCTACGGTACTACTGGCTGCACTCTCCGTTGGCTCGAATCAAGGAGCTAATATGCAGAAAATTACCAGAGAACTGTGAAAATTGCCTTTGCCCCTGCAGAACTCCCCACAAATACACTTAGATAATTAAGATATGTTGTACATATTACATTCTTCAACAGGAAATCAATACGTTAATTGTTCATTATTAAAGGAATTTAATTTAGGTGAAGTATCTGCATGATGCATGCTGCACTATATAATGTGTTATTGAAGTAAGACAAAGTAAGCAGTGAATGCAGGTATAACTCCAGCCAGGACTGAAGACCCATAGCAAAGTCAAGGAATCACCATAGAGAGAATATGACTCGATATGGCATATAGGGTTTTTTAACGGCACAAAATCAAAATCGTGTTTCATAAAATGAGGTAGCGTATGGTTTAGTGAGTTAGAACTTTGGTACAATTCCTATGGTTGGCAGAGTGATTTCATCTTTGGGCCCTTGAGCAAGGCCCTTAACCTATAGTGACCAGATAATCCATGTCAAGGAGGACATTTTGAGCTCTGTAGATTTTACAAACTACTTTAAAACTGAAAGGTTCCTCTCTTTGGCTGAATAGTTCAGTTATTCTTCTGCTTTGACTGGTTTGTTTCCTAGACTGAAAGACTCATCCAGTAGTTTCATATTAATGTTAGTGACACATGCATGATAATAGGAGACTGATCAATCAGCACACAGGAAGAACTCGGTACTTAAGTGAAATCCTGGCCCTTTTCAATTAAAAGGTAGCTTAAAAAACCTGGTCTAGCTCAAAGTTTACTCCAGGGACTGGCTGACCCTGCTTTGTATGTCACTTTAGACAGAGGCACCTGTTTAATAAACAAAAAAAACTGAAATCGTAACACCTGGCTTCAGATAGCAAGTGCCACACCCTGCCATAAAAGAACGTGAACTACACCTGTTCCACATTTTAAACTTAAATTAAAGAAGATACACTTTATAGGCAAAAGTATTGGGACACAACTCTTAATCATTTAATTCAGGTGTTTCATTCAGACTCATTGCCAGAGGCATATAAAATCAAGCCATGCAGTGAAGTTTACAAGCATTTGTGAAAGAAGGGGCCTTTCTGAAGAGCTCAGTGAATTCAAGCGTGGTACTGTCATAGGATGCCACCATAGCAACAAGTCAGTTTGTGAAATTTCTTCCCTGCTAGATATTCCACGGTCAACTGTAAGTGGTATTATTGGATGAGGAAGCATTGCTAGATCATGTATAGTAAAAGAGCTGGGTCACCAAGTGCAGGAACTTCATGGAATAGGGTTCTATAGCCAAGCAGCTGAATGCAAGCCTCACATCAAGAAGCACCATGTCAAATATAGGATGGAGTGGTGTAAACCACTAGACTCTGAAGCAGTGGAAATGTGTTCTGTGGAGTGACGAATCATGCTTCTCTGTCTCACAGTCTGATAAATGTGTCTGGGTGTGGCGGACGTCAGGAGAACATTACCTGCTTGAATGCATTATGCCATCGGTAAAGTTTGGTGAAGAAGGGATAATGGTATAGAGTTGTTTTTCAGGCATTGGGCAAGGCCCCTTAGTTCCAGTAAAGGGAACTCTTAAAGCTTCAGCACACCAAGACATTTTGGATAATTCTATGCTTCCAACTTTGTGGGAACAGTTTAGGGAAGGCCCTTTTCTGTTCCAGCATGACTGTACCCCAGTACACAAAGCAAGGTCCATAAAAATATAGTTGGGTGAGTTTGGTGTGGAAGAACTTAACTGACCCACACAGAGCCCTGACCTCAACCCCATCAAACACTTTTAGAATAAGACAGAATGGGTACTGTAAGCCAGGCCTTCATGGTCAACATCAGTGCCAGACCTCACAAGTGCTCTTCTGGATGAATGGGGCAAAAATTCCCACAGACACACTCCAAAAACCTTCCCAGAAGTGGCAACTGTTATAGCTCCAAAGAGGAGATCACCTCCATATTGGTGCCTATGGATTTAGAATGGGATGCCATAAAAGTTCCTGTAGGTGTAATGGCCAGGTATTCTAATACTTTTCTCCATATAGTGTATAAGAAGCTTTGCTGAAGGAGGGCCTTTGCGAAGTATTTTGCCTGTTTGTTACCAGATACGTTGCCTGCTGTTTTTTGAACTGTTGCCTGTTTGAATTTAGCTTGTGTTTTGACCCTGATTTCTGGATTATGCTTTGGCTCTTGTCATTCCCTTTTGTGAATCCTGGAACTATCATGCTGTGCAGTTGGATCACAGAACTCTTTCATTACAAAGAGGTATTGTTATAAACGGATGCATTTCAAGGACCAAAAAGGTACACAGAGCACACAGATCACAGAGATAGTGAAGGCACTCCTTCCCAAGGGAGGCGGACACCTGAAGCTCTGATCTTGGGCTGATTTTGAGAAATGCCATCCACTGGGAGGCTCGAAACAAACTGTCGTCATTCTAGTGCAGAAGAGAAGCTGTATAATTGCCACCTGTGGTCTGTACATAAGCCCCTGAAGATGTTTCAAGTGGCCATAGTTTTCCTGTAGTGAGTCTACATGTGTGTCAGGGCTGATTTGTAGTGTTTAAAGCAAGTAAACATAGTGAATCAACTTGGCAGCTTCTTATTGGGAAGCAAACTGGATGACTTCTGTGTTTTTCTCCATTTCGACCAAGGGTTACAAGAATAGAATTTTTTTCTAACCACTAATGTATGTGACCCACAAATTTTTGGTGTCCCAAACTTTTTATTGCTATACGTTTGCAAGCTTGACATGGGTAAAACTCAACGGAAGATTTAAGGTAGTCAGTTTTTTTCATGCCTTGGTCGGGTTTGGGTCAGGCACATTATAGGGTCACAACTGTATTTTGTATTTACTATGCTAAGGCAAACACTATACCAGGTGTTTATATTCCACTGAAATAAAGGTAGCTGAATACGAGAAAGTATGTTGTACTGTATGTACAGTATGTTGATGCTTCCATGTCCCACTCTTGCCAGTGTGGGGAAGCAATAAAAAAGGCGAACAGAATGTTGGGTTATATCTCTAGGTGTGTGGAGTTTAAGTCAAGGGAGGTGATGTTACACTTATATAATTCCTTGGTAAGACCCCACCTAGAATACTGTGTGCAGGTTTGGTCACCATACCTCAAGAAGGACATTACTGCCTTAGAAAAGGTGCAACGAAGAGCTACGAGAATGATTCCTGGTCTTAGAGGAATGTCTTATGAGGAGAGGTTAGTGGAACTGAATCATAGCCTTGAGCAAAGGAGACTAAGGGGGGATATGATTCAGGTCTATAAGATTCTAACGGGTCTGGATGCTGTTCAGCCAAATGACTATTTCAATATTAGTCTAAATACCAGAACTCGTGGCCATAAGTGGAAATTAGCGGGAGAACATTTTAAAACAAATTTGAGGAAGCACTTCTTTACACAGCGTGTAGTTAGAGTATGGAATAGTCTTCCTGCTAGTGTAGTGGAAGCTAAAACCATGGGTTCCTTTAAATCAGAGCTAGATAAGATTTTAACAACTCTGAGCTATTAGTTAAGTTCTCCCCAAACGAGCTTGATGGGCCGAATGGCCCCCTCTCGTTTGTAAATTTCTTATGTTCTTATGTTCTTAATTCCATTTCCATTGCAGTTTTGCAAGCTACTTCTTTTTGCCCCCTACAAAAACCACTGAAACAGACCTAAGAACTTTTTTGTGATAATTCAGTTTTTTTTTTTTTTTTTTATTAAATTTGCGTATTTCCATTAATGGTTTTTCAGTTCACATGTTCAAAATGTGCAAAATCTAGGTCAATGAAGAGTCTATTGATAGGTGGCCAATGTCCATCATGGAAATAATAAATAAAACTGCATAGAGAGACCTTTTGACCTTTCCGAAATAATTTGAGGAAATATAACTTGTGGAAACAATTCTATGTGCTAAAACAACTTTAGTTATTATTCTTTAAAGCCAGTTGGCAATGATTTGGACTTTTGATTCAACTTCTCATCTCATAAGTGGTGAGTGCATTGTCTAGTTAGCATATTTTTGCAATGCCTATAGTCATGAGGAGAGACAAGACGCTAATTGTCTAGTTATGTTTTTGAAACATCACCTTTGTGTGTAAGCCAGTGTGCCCTTGTGTTTTATATCTGTGTATTTGTGCCTAGGTGCCTTCACTTCATAAAAGCTGGCTCGGAGCTTGGGCTGAGGAATTCTGTTCATATTTGGGCTCGGATCAGATCTGCCCTGAATGCCATGGGCCTGGGTCTGGCTAATAGTTCAGGTCTATGTATGGCTCTATATCTTACCCTATAGATCATTAACACTGCCCTTCCCCCACAGTCATTAATAAAAAAGAACTTATCAAGGATCAAACAATAACTGCCCTCATCAAATCATCCACCCA